TTTGGGTATTCACCTACAGCAAGGACAAGCCCCCGGCAAATTTCATAGTCGATGGGTGAGTTTCAGTATATATGTTGTAGTTAATTTTTTTATCTCTGGTATAATTTTTCTTTTTCTTTTGTTTCAACTTCATGAGCATACATTCCATACCCCAAAACAAAAGAAAAACAAAAATTACCTGAGATAAAAAATTAACTACAATATATACCTATCACTTCTCGTAAATAAGCAGTTTATCCCCCTCTGTTGCAATTAATTGCACGAACTTTTATTGAACAAACTCACCAGAGTCAGGAATGGCAAATCATGCAAACTTACAAACTTGAAGCAAAGCTTAGTGCAGTTAGAATAGTTTGTTGATTTAACCAACAAACAAAAAAAACAGTCCCAAACTTCAAAAGTTGGCAACAATTTCGAAAAATGTTTCTCATTTGACCGCAGTCGACCTTGACCAAACCTTAAACTACGTGGGGTGTACGTGGGGAAGAAAAAAAAAAGGCCAAAAAAAGGCTCTTAAGGCGGCACCTCAAAGCGTTTGTCGTTAAGTACAAAGCATATGAAGAAGTTTGTATCATGTCTTAGATAGCTTGTTAAGGGTACTTTAAGGCGATTTAGTAACCATGTATCCACAAACGTGTTTCAAAATGTAACCGCAATAAAAATAAAGGAAGTTAGAAACCTGGCCCCAGTTTTTCGAAAGGTGGATAGCACTATCCACTGGATAGCGCAATTGGTTTTCGTAATGCTTATCATATCCCGTGGATAGCGCTATACAGCTTTTGAACAACCGCGGCCAGAACAACACGTACAAGCCAAAACCCGCACGTTTAACCGCCGAAATTCTAGCAAAACCCCCTTACACCCCACCGGAATGGGGTTGCTTTCAGATACCACCCAAACAGGAATTTTGTCGCACACTAGCCTGGGGCGGATCCAGGATTTTTTTTAGGAGGGGGTGCACTCGTCTCCTGCTCTACTTCAACACCGATAAACCACATAGTTTTTTTTTTTGGAAGAATACCAGTAGTATTAGAAAACCGCAGGTCATCTCAGGGGGGGTGCGCACCCTCTGCACCCTTCCCCTAGATCCGCCCCTGCTAGCTAAGGTATGGTTTTTCAACCCGAGACGAAATCTAAGGAAATCTATGCCATGTAAAATTTTCAAGCACAGCAGAAGTTTCAGTAATTTTTACTTTGTCATCGTTTCATTTTTAGCCTTTTAGACCGTTATATTTGGGCCACAGCTATTGTGTAGAGAAGTGACATATCACGTAGCTAATTGCAATTAGTTTTTAGTATCTTATATATTATTTTATCTTGGTTAGAGACGACCTCCCTGAAAACCACGTGATGTGACGAGAGCTTTATCTATAACGATTATTACTTATCATAATAATAATAATGATAATAATAATAATAATATTTCACATGAACTTTGGATTTGACACTTTCGTCAAAGTAAGGTTACATTTATAACGGTTATTTGTCAAAGCTTCGATGTATTTTTAACATTCATAATCCCCAAAACAAGTCAGCGAGCCGTGAAGTCTTGCATGCAAGGACCTGAACGACCACTTGGACAAACAGCCCAACAGCGACGAGAAGCTAGATCTTAGTGTTCAGGCCTCAGTTGTTCAAACGTTGGATACATTCTATGTAGCACTATCCACCGGATAAGTAGTGGGGAAACCGATTACGCTATCCACTGGATGGCGTTATCCAGCTTCTGAACAACTGGAGCCTGGATCAGAAATATAGAAAAAAACTAAAGGCATGGTTGAGAGCAGTCGGACGTCGGATAAGTAATTGATTTGCCCATTAACCCTCATCAGGGGCTTCGCTTCTAATAAACAAGAGGCTATTTGCTGAAATGTTTGAGTGCTAAGTATTTTTAAAAAGGACCTCAATTTCTTGTTATTCACTTCAGTAAAGTAAACACATTTAAGACTGTTTATTTATTCGAATTCCATCACGTACAGATCTCCGTACAGTAAAAAATGCTCGCTCTTTATCCACGTCGCCTCACCTTGTCAGTAATAACCGTTCATTGTACAAAACTAATTTGTTATTCTTTGTTCGCTTAAGAACAAATAATTACATATATTGTGGGATGAAAAGCTGAAGCCGTTTTGCACCTCAAAAGAACCGCCAACTGGACAATTTAAACGGTACGGGGATCAGATTTAATGCGGAGCGCCTGTCCGCAAAAAATTGCCCCAAGGAACGCCGAATAAATGGTCAATGACACTGAAGTTTAGGGATAAGGTTTAGGAAAGTTAGGGTCATATTATACGGGGCCAGACTCATTCGCCTATTGGCAGCCTTTCGGCCGGTCCTCCGTCAAAATACTCCTGCCGAAACTCAAGAGTCAGCGCTGCTTTTTTCTTATCCTGTCAGTTTCAGGGGCACCCAACGTCAGTTTTTCGGAAAATATCTGTTCGGAAGAATGTTTGAGATCTAGAATTTTCGGAACATTAGTCGTAAAACCCCCTCGCTTGCTTGCCTACCTCTCCTAGGATTTTCGAACATCTAAAACATGGTATATAATTGCCCACTTTTAACGGATTTTACCCTAAAAAGGTCACCTAGCATTTTCGAAAGCCCCTTTTCTGGCTTAAATTTTCGAAAAATTATCCCTATAATTTTCGGATCACCAGACTTTCAGCTAGGAAATCCGAACAGATAAAAACTTTTTAGGGGATAAAGATATTCCTATATCTACCGTTTGAATACTAAAAGACTTTAAACAATGCTATGTTTAAGTGGTTTAGAACTATAGTCTCGTTGGATGCCCCTGCAGTTTTCCAGGTCAAAATTGCCACGGAACGAGGATGATGACTACTGTAACTAACTGAGCTTAGCTAACTGAGCTTTTCAGGCAAACAATGCCAGCATACAAAAGTGAAATTTGCTTATTACAATCCAGCAGCTGTTTAACTGAAAAACCAAGCCACACAGACGCTAAAAACGTTAATGACCCTTACGAGTATTCTTTCAATTATTCTTAAGAGTTTAAATTAAACAACGAAGAGTAAAAAAAGTATGGCAAAATATGGGTACAGCTATTTCTAAATTACAAATACAATAGCGGGCAGATGGACTACAAATGTAATAGCGAACCCAATTTAGAAGACTGTCTTTGTTTGAAGAGCTATTTTAAGCCTAACCATTCAATATTCAAAGGGCTTCATTCAGTGAATAACAATAATACAAAGGAACCCACCCTATGGACTAATCTGCAGGATATTTCACTGGTCCACTGAGTCATACCTCTGGTGGCTTGCTTGTTCTAGGCGAGTAGGCGTTCAGATAGATTAGAGTTACGCGAAATGGAGAGCGGGGGGAAAACGCAGAAGGAAAAAGGAGAAAGAGAAGAGCTCCATTAACCTTTCTCACTACCCCCACCCCGTCGCTTTCTTTTCCTGCCCAGTATTCTTTACGCCGTCTCTAGCCTGTCTTCTCTATTCGTTCTTCTCTTTTTCTTTCCTCTCTCGAACACCTCGCGTTTTCTAATTCGTTAGCCTGAGTATCAGGCGTTTCTGGGGAAAAGGGGAAAGATGGAAGCGAAAAAGGGAGAGAGCTAAAATCTAAAATCTCCTCTCCCCTAGCCCCTTAGGAAGGCCTGATACTCGGGCTACTAATTCGTGCGCCCTATTTACCCTCGCCAAGGGGTGCCAGCCACGAAGTTAGCACCAGGCCAGGTTATATTTATCCAAATTGACTTACTTATGTCGCGCGCTGATAGACTGGTATCAGTTATCGCCTTCTGAAAAGGTACGTTCTCATCCACACAAGGGAATGTGGAAAAGTTGTTTACGAAAAATGGTCTTCTTTGGTGAGCATTTTAGAAACTATGGGAGTCGGCGGTCCACTGACCGTTTTTAGCTGATACACGTTGTATGGTTGAACGGAAGGCAATTCTGAAAGCAAATCAGTGAAAGAATATCTCTTTCCAAACAAAAAATATAGAAGCGGAAGATCGAGTCTACTGCGTCAGACTCGTACATCTTTGACAAATGACAACAGCTTCAGAATATAAACAAAACTGCGGAAATCAAATTTAGAAAGACAATTACATTTTTTTTACAACTTTTGAATACTTGACGTTTTAATAGTCTGAAGTATTTTTAAATGACTTTTTTTACAAAATACGTCATAGGCGAGCCAGAGGCGTAGCTACCTATACGCAAGTACGCACGTGCGTACTGCGGATAAAATGTCGAAAACAAATAGAAAACAAAGACAAACAATACAAAATAGAAAAACAAAGCAGAGGAACGGAAGGCAAATAAGGAATAGCTGAAAAACGGTGCATTTACCGATGTATTAAACACCCCTTTAACTTTTCTCAAATAATTTTTTTCAAGCAAAATGGCGTGCTTTCTCCCCGCCGACCTTCCCACACCATTGTCATGGTACTATACTAACAACCAGAGACCGAAATTAATTTTAATGAAAATGCAACCACGTGATAACAATTTGTGAGACGGGTTAAAGTTGAGTTGGAAAATTGTGCTTGTGTCTAGTGGTAATTTTATGGCGGCTTTGCACGTATCATCCTCGGAGACCCAGGGGCAGATAGTGGGGACGAGGGAAAGTCTAAACGGGCGGAAAAATATTCTTTACTTTTCTTCGTTCCATATATACTTTTTCGCCCGTTTAGACTTTCCCTCGCTCCCTTTATCTGCCCCTGGGTCTCCGAGGATGTACACGTATCAGAAAATCCGATCTGCCGCACAGAAACGTTGCATCCCCACCCCCCTCCCCTAACCACTCGTCGCAATTAAGCGGCCAGGTGCCTAAGCGTGACACGTTGAGTGATCAAGAAGGCGAGAAAATATATTTGCGTTTCTCTTTTGCGGAGATGGAAAATATTCTGGTCTTTGGCTACTCCAGATTGCTCCCCTGTCAGACTGAAATTTTCTACTGCTTATTGTCTAATTTACGAAGGAACAAAGATTTTTTTCGGTAACCTGGATGCGTCAAGTTTCGCTGAAAGCATGTTCCTGAGTAACCTTTGGAACAAGCGACGACCTCTTGTGGCTTTTGGCTGGGTGTTCTTCGCGATTGTTTTAATTTCAGTTTTATATTTAGTAAGATCTAGTTTTAAGCATCCGAAGACGGAACAGGTTATCAGAATTTTGTCTTTTGGCGATTCGTTGACCGCGGGTAGCACTGGAATACGAAGAAAACGGCATCCATATTCGATAACACTACAACAACACTTAGATTCTCATCATCACACACTGCTTGGAAGGAACATATTACCAATCTTCGAAGTTCACAACGCTGGGATTCCGGGTGAAAGGGTGGTAGATCAAATGTTTCCACGGTTAGAAAAAATCTTACAAGATGCAAGAACAAAATATACCTGGGTGATAATTCTTGGGGGGACAAACGACTTGTCAAAGTACAGAAATAGTTCTTCGATGGGAGACTTCAAATCTATTTTCTACGCTTTAGTAAACCTTCACAACATGACTCATAGTTATGGAGCCAGAACAGTTGCGATCACCATTCCCGATAGAGAATGCATGGGTTCGGGAAGGTGTTATTATCTAAGCAGAACACAATCAAAAGTGAACGACCTTCTCCGAGATTTCGCCGCTCAAAACACAAACAAAGTAGTGCTTGTCGACTTGGCAAACGAGATCCTACTTCCGCGAGATGTAAGACTCTGGGGTGATTATGTGCATTTTAATGAGGATGGCTACCAAAAGATGGCACATGCTATTTATAGTTCAATGAAAGAACATATCTAAGTGAGACTTTTCTTGAAGAAAACCGGAAGTACCAAACCCGGAACTAATTCAAAACTGATTTTGACTCTGACAATCTTTCGGTTGTAATATCTCAGAACGACCAGAATTGTACCTTTTACACAATAAGCTATCTGAGAATATCTGCCTGTGAGTTTCCGATTAGGGCTCGTCAACAGTTTTTGCCGTGTGCCTGGTGCTGTTTTTTTTTTTCTCTTAGCCAGTTATGATAAATAATGCATTGGCCTGCAGTGAGAATAGTTGTTCTGGCCAAAATGTATAAACATTGTTGTGGCCTGCATTCAATAGTAATTTATTACAAGCAAATAGGTTGAGGCTTGTGTAACCATTTTAGAAAGTATATATATAAAAAATATTTTTAAAAAAACCTGTAGTGAGAAGCCCAGTCCATTCTCTTTTGCCCAGCCCCATGAAAGTGAACGGAGTGTTCATTGGGAAATTAAGAAAACACCTAGATTAGGTACCTACAGAACCCCAGTGAAAAGTAGTGGCTAGAATTCACTTTAATAGGCCCTTTGCAGCTAGCGGTTCACGTGGTACAAAACTGCCATGCTCTAGAGTAAAAGTCGAATGGGTAGCTGCCAATGGCCTCCTCCCATAAAGGGTTCAAAAACATCAGTTGAGTAACAAAAAATTCCCATCATTTTAGAGCACAGTGGAACCCTGCTCTATGGACACTCACTTAATACGGACCCTCGTATTAAGCAGACAGTTTTGTTTGTCCTAATGAAAAGCTCATACATTTTCTCTAAACACCGGTTAATTAGGATAATGGATACCGGTACTTTTCTGCGTCCCGAGACACAAACTGTCATACATTGTCAACCCCATGTTACAGGCACTGGTTACCTCTGCACTGTCTGTCTTAATTTTCCTATCACAATCACATGTCATTAAGCAGACAGTTTCATTTGCCCTGATGAAAAGCTCATATATTTTTTCTCAACACCGGTTAATTAGGACAATGGACACTTTTCTGAGTCCTGAGACACAAACTGTCATATATTGTCAACCCCACTTTATGGACACTGGTAACCTGTACACTTTTTTGTCTATTTTCCTTGTAACAATCATGTGCTAATTCAAAACATTGAACATTGGTTGTTACGATTTTATTGCTTATAAAACAGTAGCAAAATGGCATGAAATGAATGTTTGATTGTGACAAGCCCTTCTTTCTTCCAATATTTGCACCTTTCAGGAACTGCTTGGTATTGCAGCCCTTTAATAATTTTTACTGCCTCCTACTGAACAAGGTTTAATTTCCTTTGCTTTTTGCAGCAATCATTCCTCCTACCCTTCTTCTTTTTTGTCTTCTTTAGCCTATAGTAATAAAACACATGTCCGTGACCTTTTTTTCTGACTGTCCGCTTAATATGGACACCAGGTAATATGGACACCATGGCACGTCCCTTTGTGAGAACGAGATAAAGATGAGTGTTTTTGACCGACTGTCAGAAGGGTGAAAAGAAAGATTGTGTTGAGTTTTGAAAGCCTCTGTGGCCGTTGCTTCACGAGAAAACAATTTACTGGATAAAACAACACCGGTGGCTATTTTACCAATATATTAGCTAGACTTGTATCAAAATTATAAATTCTGAACAGTAACAGGATCCCTTAAAAATGACTTGGAAATCTACAAAACTATATCCCGTGACCAAAAATATCTAATCAATATATTACTGACTTATATGCAATTTCATCAAAATGTTCTTTTCAGTTTTTTCTCAAACGCATTTGACGTTATGAAATAAATAAAATGATATAAAACTACCCTTTTATCAATTGTTAACCGCTAAAAACTATTTTACTTCCGATACCCTTCTCCTATATGATTACCGAGTGAAACAAATAAAACGAAACCTGTAGTAAGCCGTGCGTTGCGGCGCATAAGATCCTAGGAGGGGCACCCAGAGTATTTCTATTAACTTTCCTATGATCTTCGAAGTGGATTTTTCACCATTTATTACAAAGATTTAGTGATTATGTGGTAGGAAAAACGTCCCCTAAAATTCCCTTATGAAAGTACAGCTACTTCACGTCCTCGCAGTTTTGACAAGACCCGTCAGGATAACTAAAACTTTCGGATGAGACGAAAAAGCCCCCTAAAACTTTCGACACGACCAAAGTTCCCCTAAAACATCCGAGCAGATAGATAGTTTCAGTGTTTTAGGGCAGCTCCAAATTAACGAAACAGTGTTCTAAAGCAGAGGAAAATCCATTTTAGACATTTCTGACGTGTTTGGAAAGATTCGGTCGTTAAGTGCCCCTGATCCTAGGTATTATCTGATTTGTCGAGGTTCGTTTTAAAGAAAGACAGAGGGAGAGAGAGTTAAAAAAAAAAAAACGTTTTGGTACTCATTGACGTTCGTGTTCGTTTAAACACGGTTTTCGCTAAACATGGCGTCAACTTGACACAGGTTTCACAGAAAAACAACTTTGAGCAAATTCAGTTTTAGCCGTGGAATGTTCGTCGTTGGACACAGGCCTTCCTTGTCGACTGCCACTGGACCACGGTGGAGGTAAATCAAGGTAAAATAAAAAGAAATTAGTACAAATAACTGTACCATTCTAAAAGCAAACGCAACGAGTAAAAGTCTGCTGAGGCCTAGCCTGCGTCGCGACTTAATTTAACTCCGGTTAGTAACGTCTGCGAAGGAACGCCGAGGCAGTTGTCCTTTTCATAATCAGTCGCTGCCATTCTTAGGACACTGTTATTGTGAGTGTTTCTATTAAAAAGAAAGAAAATCGAAACCCAGGGTGAATTAAACCCGGACCTTTCGTATCCTTATCTCTCTCCCTTACCACTACACTACCACTCCGACTCGCCAAAATTCTGAAATATTTAAGTACACACGCTAGCAAACTGTCTTTCTTAACTGCTACATCAATAACAGGTGACCCTAGCCCTTTCTATAACTTTTAACGTAAATTCAACTTCGGCTTCAACGTCGTTATTTCTGAGACTATTCAAAAATGTATTATTTGCCTTATTGTAACTTAATTCAGGGAAAATAATACATCTATCATGACTTAAGGCTTCGTTACAAATGGTGGCAACGACCGTTTAAGTAAGGAAAAAATGAAGCGGATAGATCCCTATTCTGGGCCCCCAACGAACTCATCGAATTACCGGAAGTAAGGGCAAATTTCTTTTCGACTTGATTTGGCAAATAGGCGATGCCTTTCTTAACAGGCCAATCATAGCTCGTACTCAACTAGAGGCCCAGAACGTGAGAACCCTGGGAACGAGGTTACTTCGCAGACGGACTTAACCAGAGTTTAGTTGCGTCTGTGGCGCAGGCTGGCTGAGACCTAAAAGAAGGAAACCATCAGAACGTAAATTTGCCTCGATCATAATTAACTGTTGTTTACTTTTCTACTCTTCCCGTCAAAAAATTGTAACTTTTATGAGTCAATTAATCTTTATATTCAAATAATCATCGCCCTTCTAGTCTTGGCTTATAATTCATCATGTCTGTTGTGCTGAACTTGAATGTGCGTAATTATTAAACGCTCAACCTCGGATAACACACTCCTAGCTTTCTCATTTAGATCTCGGTTATCATAGTTACCTACTTTAATTTTGAGAGTGTCATTACGTAAAATGAATGTGGCAAACTCTGACAGGCCAACATTTTTAAATAATCCTGAACAATTACAGAGGAAGTTTTGTAAAATTAAATAAAATACGGTTCCTAGAGGAAAAAAAGGAGAGAATTTGTTAAAATACCGTGAAAATTGATCATGTGTGATCGTATCCTTATTTCCTCTATCTCCCTGATTGAATAAGCATTTAACTTATGAGGAGACTTTAGTTAAATCTTAAACAGTAAACCGAACACATTTTCCCAGTTCTTTAACTGAGGTCCCGCAAGCAGATCAGTTTCATTGTACCAAAGAAATAATAGCTACTGGGCTATGATTATTTTTCAATTATCTTTGATCAAAACGCGACCATACATCTCTTGAATTTGTTACGGATGAGACTACTGCAAGTATTATCCCCATTTGTAGACAGTGTAGGACAAACTAAATACAATACTTAATAAATAGAAGTTTCCCTCATATCCCATCGACATGATTCTTAAGAAGCGTTGAATCAACACGTTACCCTCCTACATGGTGACATTCACGTAAACACGTCATCTGACACAAAAAATTCCGAGGAGCCTATCGGAGGTCGGAGGTTCTCTTTCTCCAGAAAGTAAAGGGGTTGCTCAACTAGGTACCCTCTGACATCTCTCAGGCGAGCACGTGCTTCTCCTGGGTCCTCAACAGCAAGTCGTCTAAGATTCTAAAAATAGTTATGAATGTACCGTTTAAGTAATGGTCCAGATAAGAGGAAAGAACCAAACGCAATGAACACGTCGGAATGCAAAAAGGTGATATCTTCACTATTGTCTCTACTACATTTCTGATTGGTTTAAACATCAAATTTTACGAAATCTTCTCAAAAGCAGCATGTGTATTAATCCCTTGTTCTCTAGTCAACTTCCTTATAACAGAATCTCTTCTGAGTCTAAGTAACATAGAAATCCTATGTGAGGAAATCCTTTAACACAAAAAACAACTATAAAAAATGGAGTTTCTACATTTTATTTCGTAGTCCGCCTTTTTTGAAGGTTTACGTATTCTCTGTGTAAAAATGAAAACTTTGCTATGTGAGGACAGCGTATTGCGCCATAACAAAAGAAATCGCTTCCCTTCTTACCAGGATCATTACTTAAACTGAAGACCAAGTACGACTTTGTTTCTGCATGAAACATTTTAGTGAGTACTAAGCACCAGCTGACGCGATTGACGCACTGTGAGCATCACGGAAATAAATTTAAGATATGATGGAGGTGTAGCCTGCGTAGCCACCGGCTAGCAGTATTATTATGCGCGGGATAGTTTTTTGGTACTTTCTCGCGCGGCGACATGTGACGTAAAGGGTCTCACGTGACCCCAATGATGAAAGGCAAACGCTCTCGTCACGGAGAAAGGCCTTTGTGAAATCTGAGCGATAATTTTGCGCTGGAAAGCCTTTCCATCCTCTTACCTTGTAAGTGTTTAAATCAGACAACGAGCGAACTTTATCTGTTGGAATGCAGTGAAAAACCTGCAATGATAAATATAGCGAAACTTACCGAAGACGAAGTCATCTGCCAAACAGATAAAACCTATCAAATGATTTTAACACGGATGAATTTAGCATGAGAGAGAATTACAAAATGCTGCCTCGTCCCCAGTCGCTCGCGATAACTTTTTGGGGGATATTTGAGTTAATTCGCCACTTGTACATCCATAATGCATCTTATTTGCCCCCAAAAGTGTTGAATAAGTATCGTTTTCAGTCTCTCTTGGGACGGCTGTAATACCCAGGAGAAATGAAAAACAAAGGTCATGCAAAATTTTGGGCGGCAAATAAGGTCCATTATGGGAGATGTGCAAGTGGCGTATTGCGCTCATTCCCATCATCCCCCTGTCTCGCTTCTCCCTTGTCTCCAGGATTTCCGAGCTCTTACAGGCCTTGAGTTACCGCGTGGGGAGTGGCGCAGAATGAGAAGGACGCCTGAGCAGTCTACGTCATTTACCGGCTACAATGTCGACAGTATCGAGAATCTACATGGTGTTAAATAAGGATCCCATGAACAATGTTTCAGCTTGGTGATAAATTAAGGAAGAATGCATTTTTATCGCGTCACTAGCCTGTGGTAAGAAATTAAGGCATTCAAACCCGTGATCTCCCGGGCAACGGAAAGTTGGATCGAATTTGCTTCTCACCTCGTCATAAATTTCAGTGTTTTTCTTCGCCGTTTTCATCCAGAGATCCTGCATTTGGAAGGGAAGAAAAAGACAAAATTAAAAAGGCATATTTGATACAAACCATGAAAATTGTCAAGGCCTGGACTGCCGGCAAACGCGGTCAATCACACCTAATACGTATCTTCCGACGGCTTTTCCAAGTCAGTTACACTACGAGTAGCCCCTATTCCAGATAGTAGAGCGAGCGAAACGCGAGCGCGTGTGAAAATCACTCCACGCGAGAAAGGCGAGACGCGGCGGTCTCTCACAGCCGCGTCTCACCTTTTCTCGCGTGGGGTGATTTTCACGCGCGCTCTCGTTTCGCTCGCTCTACTATCCCTGAGAAAAAATGGGGACTACTCGTAGTCTACAAGTCAGTGTGCTAACCAATTCTTCTCGGAAAGTGCCTTACACTTACCAAAATTGCTTAGATACATTTCTTAACTTTCCTCATGCAAGTTTTAGAAACCGTAATCAACTTTACGAAAGGTTTGTAGAACTTACCATGTAGAAACTGTCTGAAACGACATCTCTGATGTCTTCATCTGAAGGAGAGTCCAGTAAACCCAGGTGCTCTCTAAACAAAAACAAAGCCAAACAATGAAATATTAAATACCAGTGTCCGTCACATAGTGAGTGCAAAGTATGTACTGGTGGTAGTTCACTTCAAGCAACGGCAAAAGCTAATCGAAAATGCATTGTATCCGCCCTTGTTAGTTAGTTATTTAGGGGCGCTTTCCATTTGTCAGAAGTGGCAGGTCGGACCATACCCGACCAGTTAGTTTGAAAATGAAATAGGCTTTTTCAAAGAGTTTTTGCTGAAAAACGTTCTCCTCCGTGCATACTATTTAGGATTTGACTGATCTGGCTGGAGAGTTTTGATTAAAAGGGAAATTATCATTGTGACGGGAATGGTTTGACCGGTCAGTTCTGACAAATGGAAAGCGTCCCTAGGACTATCGTTTTGACTCGCTGGGGAGGGCCGAGGAAATTCGACTTTCCTAAGAGCGCCTGTGTGGAAGGCTATGCATGGTGACTTTTAATCTAATTTTTGGGAGTAAAAGCGCGCTTGAAGACACCTCTTACTTCCTTTGTTGCTCGTGAAAAAGGGACCTTTTCTGCAAGACAAAGGATATAGAATGGGTCTGCACGCGGGCTGTTGGGATTATAGCTGTATCACCGTTACCGAATAGAGAGATTAAGCACCGCGTTTAGGGCAAACGGCCTTAAATGCGATGCTTAATCTCTCTAATGTTGTGTGCATGGTACCTGAAGAGTCTTGTTCTTAAGCTGAAAGCAAACTGGCCTGCTTGATACTCCTCACCATCCATCATAGACGGCACCTATTCTCAAACAAACAATAAACATCGAACAACTCATGCAGCGGTTAAATTCAGTCCCAATTACCATAACTTTGTGCTTACTAGGCGGGTATGAATACTAGAATATCAGAGTACCTTCCCATTTTTCCACGCGAATATTTCAGCTGGATGTCGTGAACTGAATCATTACCGACGTCTTCTGGTGTCCAAATTTCTTTTAAATCGTTGAAGAAACGGATGATCAAAGTGGATACTCCCTCTACTTCGACCTCCAAAAATAATGGCATACTACGAAAAAAAACCCTTTTAAAAATCGTAGACAGGTGTGTTGAACCGCTTTATTCCTTATATCAAAATGCATGTTCGTTACACCGTTCTTTAGTAACATATCTATTACCTGTCTTAGTTTAGCGATCATTACAGCAGTAAATAGATGCTGAATACCATTAGATCCCAAAAGATACTTACGAATTCTTGGTCCTTTATGATAGCAGCTATTTCCGAATCTCTTTTTCCCAGCATACTACGATCATTGATGTTTGCTGCAAAAGAACAAAAAGCAGCTCATGTTGGATTACAGCGGTTCCTCTTTTGTATTGGTTGGAGCTGCCTGCATGCGACCTTTCTTAAAACAAACAAAAGATCTGAATGGGCGCGCAAGAGTCAAAACCCCGGAGGAGGGACTCCGCATATGAAAGGGGTGGGGATGCTCGTGGTCTCGCTTAGGGGTGTAAATTTCGGATTTTGGTCTTGCTTAGGGTGTTCAAGGCAAAACGCCATCATATTTAGCCATGAAAGTCTCATTTAGGGTCGCACGCGAAAAATATAAATATATATATATTGTCTGTGTTTCAACATGGTCTCTTTTAGGGGTCAAAAAAAGCTTGGGCCACGCCCAGATCGGTCTCCTTTAGGGGTTTAATTTAAAATTTCCAACGAGCTCCCCACCCCTTTCATACGCGGAGTCCCCCCATCCCCCGGGGTCAGAACCTACTGATGACTGACTCGTCCTCATTCTGTCGTTCTTATAAAGCGCAGGGCACAGGGGTGCAAAATGGGGGAGTAGTCCAGTTATGAAGAAGACTGGGAATGAGTCAGATACTAAACAGGTGTTAAAATAGGGCGCGCCAGGCTTGTTCAGTATGCAAGACTGGCGCATAAGTATCGTGATTTTCTCACTTTTTTCGTCTCCCAGATGACAAAAGATGAAAATAGGGCCTACACCCCAAACATCATTTTCATAAAAAATTATTGTACTGGGACATAAACCAAATATATCATGTGACATAAAATTCACCCCTTTGCTTTTTTTCTAGACCTAATTAAAAGGTAACCAAACAAAAAAAATTAAACTTAAAATACATCGGCTTTATTGTCATGAACTGAGATTTTATTCACCGTGGTATGTGTACAAAGGGTTCCCTTACCGTTTGTCCTATGATAGTCACAAGAAATTATCGCGACGTTTTGACCGCGCACTGCAGATCTTCATTAGGCGATGTCGATCTACCGAGCTGGGTACTATTGTATATAGGGAACAAGGAACATACTTATAAACTATACCTGAACCTATGATAACTGTGTTGTCATCAACAATCATCATCTTGCTGTGAACATACACCATCTCTGTTAGCTTTAGAAGGGAAGAAAACAAAACAAGGCAAAACAAGAATAAATAAATATAAAAATCTTGACATAAACTGATAACGATTTAGAGGTAAGTGGTTCTTCGTCTACCTGATTCCTGGTCGAATTGAAATTTGAAAAAGTTGGTTTTTGAGGAGTAGGGAAAATCGGTGTAAAACCTCTCGGAGCAAGGAAGAGAACCGACAACGAACTCAACCCACATATGCCGTCTACGCCGGAATTCGAACCCGGGCCACACTGGTGGAGCGCGATTGCTCTCACCACTGCTCCACCTTTGCTCCCGCGAGGAAATGGTGCTAGCCATTAAAAATACTTGGAACTTACAGGCTTTCCATGAATTTCTGAATGAGTCCTCAGTCCATAGAAAGAGATGTACTTGGAAGGATCACCAACTGAGAGAAGCAATAAAATAAAATCACAAAAGGATTGCAAAGTACGCACACGTAATCCTTTCAATTCCTAGATGGAAATTTACATTATCTTTCCTTTCCATCTCCTATTTCCAAATAAAACACTATGAGAAATACAAGCAGCATCAGCACTTTAAAAACTCAAAGGTGCCCAAGGTCAAAGTGAAAGCACAGAAATACCACATCTATTTTCATATACACTAAGGAATTTCTTCCACAATCTCAAAAGGTCTACAGATTTCAAATGCCTGGTGATTTTTTATAACTTTTGTTGAGGACAATCAAAGTCATTCAGAACATTCATAACTCGATAGAGAAGAGAAGTCGTTACGTCAAGTTGCCACGCTAGCAAAATTTCTGGATGACAACAAACCGAAAACTTCACTTAAAACGAAGTCGCACAGAATCAAACTTTATCGATCTTATTCAATCTCAATCAATCTGTCAAATATTGGCAATTTTCTGGGTTGAATCCGAAAGGACCGCATCTAAATTTAGAAAAAGAAATTTTTGTGTTGCGTTCAACCTACTCCATAAAGCGGGCGCGTGAAATAAGGAAGTTTCATGTCGCAGTCGTGCAACAACGGTAGGAAGAGTATAAAAAAGAGTGATGCACGATAGCCGAGCGCGGAAATTCCATACTGATAACGGGTCACTACCCAGCTCTAGGTAGTGATTCTGACTGGTTGAATCAAATTTTCCACGCGGCCCGACCAATCAGAAGTACTACCCAGATCCTGGGTAGTGACGCGTCATCAGTATGGAATTTCTGCTCTCGTTTCTCAGACGTTATTTGGCGGGGAAACCAGTGGTAGCGTCGCCAAATGTCGGCTATTGAGGCTAGATGAACGAGCACGTACAAAGTTATTGTTTTGACAATCGAAACCTATTGCTTTGCCGTTCTCGTTGACGTCGCCGTCGTCGTTGCTTAAGCTCCCTACTGTTATGATCCAGAAATTTTGCTACTATGGTAACGTGACGTCACACTTGTCCTCTCTACTGGCTTGAAACTGAAAGTAAACAGACAACGTTTTATAGGGCGATTTTCGCATGACCTTGAAATGAAAACAGGCGAACAAAACAGAAACAACAAACGAACGGAAAAAGAGCGATTTGATTGGTTTATCGAACGGATGCAAACGCGCGTGGCTTTTGGTTGGTTATTTATGGTCAAGCGAACGCTCGGGTGAAAAACTGTCATGCCTGAGAACTTTCTGGAAATCAACCGATACTTCGCTTTGACGTCATGCTGCAACACGAATGGTCAATCGAGCAATACCTTCTCCATATTAGAGTTTTCTTTGGCGGGAAAACGAAGAGTCCATGTTTTGATCTTTTCATCCACTGGCTGATAAAACAAATAACGAACACTTACTGAAACCATTTTTCAAGGTCATACGAAAATCGCTCTGTCTTGCCCTAGGATACTCGCTATAATTACCACGCTCATTGAGTCTCTCCAGCAGGGAGTGGGAAGCACGACAAATTGACCGATAATTCCAGTGAGTAATAGCGCCAATCGATCGACCACTTGCTGTCCCTATTTCACCTGCAAGAAAACAACCAAAGCAATAAATTGGCCATTCCGAGGTACGTCAAGCCTCTGTTTCAAAGCAAGGCTAAGTGCAAAGCAATAGGCCATTAAAAAATAGAGTCATTTTACTAATACTACCAGAATCCTTCAGTGCATTCCTTTCTTGTGAAAATTAGGACTTTTGTTATTTTAACCTCACTAGGATTACCAGATTTAAATATGAAAGAAAAAACGAAGTGAATTCTGTTCTTAGTAGTAAAAAGAGGTCATCATGCAAATGAACTATTGATACGAGGATGATTATATATTTATTCTCATGCTAAATAAATCTCATTTCCACAACAAAGGTTAAATTTGCATTTAGCCTCTTTTATAAAGTCAGAGTTTTTGCAACTCGGAAATGGAAATGACACAGCGATAGCGTTGTCTTTACCTTATACATTCTATTTTCCCTTGAAAAATTATACCCGGTAGGCACTGGAGAGAGAGGGCACTCGTCCTAAGTTAGAGTATGAACAGTTGTTCACGATCTNGCAAGAAAACAACCAAAGCAATAAATTGGCCATTCCGAGGTACGTCAAGCCTCTGTTTCAAAGCAAGGCTAAGTGCAAAGCAATAGGCCATTAAAAAATAGAGTCATTTTACTAATACTACCAGAATCCTTAAGTGCATTCCTTTCTTGTGAAAATTAGGACTTTTGTTATTTTAACCTCACTAGGATTACCAGATTTAAATATGAAAGAAAAAACGAAGTGAATTCTGGTCTTAGTAGTAAAAAGAGGTCATCATGCAAATGAACTATTGATACGAGGATGATTATATATTTATTCTCATGCTAAATAAATCTCATTTCCACAACAAAGGTTAAATTTGCATTTAGCCTCTTTTATAAAGTCAGAGTTTTTGCAACTCGGAAATGGAAATGACACAGCGATAGCGTTGTCTTTACCTTATACATTCTATTTTCCCTTGAAAAATTATACCCGGTAGGCACTGGAGAGAGAGGGCACTCGTCCTAAGTTAGAGTATGAACAGTTGTTCACGATCTAACTTTTACAGCAGCCTGATATGCGCACATAACTTTTTGGTTGAAGAATGACCTACCTTCAAAAGCGGGCAACAGTGGCATGACGACTATAACTTTAAAATTTTTCCCTTCTCTGCAAGCAACGAAAAGAAAAATATATAGTAACATTCTAGCAATAGTATAATTGTTGAGAAGCTAATCAAAAATAAATATAGATATAAACAACATTTATGGTTGGAAAACAGTGAAAAGAAAATCCTCAAACTATCTTCTAAACTCACCAAGAGTAAAAACTGTGAGTGAAAAAGGAAGAAACTATTCAGACCAACCTGTGCGCCCTTTCTATCCGCCTAAGAAGATTCTCACCGATCTCATTCTTCACATTGTCGACGAAGAGAGACGTAATAAAGAACTGGTTCTGCAAGTAAAACAAAGATGAGCAGAAATATAATGAAGAAATGAAGACACACCATTCAATGAACGTTTTGACTCACTCCTATCAAATTGATTTTTTTGGCAACAGAACGGGAACGTCATTTGACGACATGAACGCGCGCGGAAAGGACTAAACGCGATTTCCGGTGCAAATGTGCCGCTCTGCCATTGGTCAAGCCAGTTGTTTGACTTGCGCGCGCAGTCGTCAACTGACGTCCCCGTTCTGTTGCTAAATCAGCCTAATTTATTACAGTTCGCACGCATAGTTAGATAATTGGTTCCTCTCGACATTTGCTGTACTAGGAACAATTGTTCCTCAAGAGAGTTTGGAATCTATACGTTAACTTGCACCCCGCATAAGGCTCTCATGATTGGTACTCAGCGGAGAGGACTGGAACTGTATATTTTTTATTTATTTTCTCCATTTATTCTTAATTACAGGCCATTTATATTATATTACATATTTGAAGATATTATTCTTAAGATTTAAATATGGGATTAAAAGAATGAATGGAGAAGAGCAAGTGAAACTAATTAAATGCCCTTTGATTAAATAAAGTTTTATTTAGGATAAAAGAGAAAAAACAAGAAGTATATAAAGTATGAAATATATAAGAGAGTGGAAAAAGGAAAGTACGCAAAAAAATACAGAGCATACGAGGGTCGTTGTGGCGATGATAGGAATGAAGTGGAGAATCATCAGGCAAATTACGTTGTGCAAACGTGTTCAATGAAATTTCCATAATGTTATCCTCCTTTAAAACGCTAGTCCCAGTCTTAGTCTTTGAAGAGTACAAGCCTCTTTCGATCCCAAAAATTACGCTAAAACTTGCCCTAGTCTTGCGGGATAAAAAGCAAAAAGAATTTACCTCAATGTAAATATAGTGCTGTGACGCCTCAATTGCCTTGATGTAAGCTTCATGTATGGAGCTTTCTTTTGGAACACCACCTGACCATTCACACAAGGAGCGTAGAATCTAACAGAGAAATAAGTCATAATTAACGAAAGTAACTGAACTCAATGAAGGATTTTCAAGTCACACTTGGGCTGTGATTAACCTCGTTCAAACAAGAAAACTTTGATTTGCCAAAGTCCGCTGAAAGTTTGATAGNGCAACAGAACGGGAACGTCATTTGACGACATGAACGCGCGCGGAAAGGACTAAACGCGATTTCCGGTGCAAATGTGCCGCTCTGCCATTGGTCAAGCCAGTTGTTTGACTTGCGCGCGCAGTCGTCAACTGACGTCCCCGTTCTGTTGCTAAATCAGCCTAATTTATTACAGTTCGCACGCATAGTTAGATAATTGGTTCCTCTCGACATTTGCTGTACTGGGAACAATTGTTCCTCAAGAGAGTTTGGAATCTATACGTTAACTTGCACCCCGCATAAGGCTCTTATGATTGGTACTCAGCGGAGGGGACTGGAACTGTATATTTTTTATTTATTTTCTCCATTTATTCTTTATTACAGGCCATTTATATTATATTACAGATTTGAAGATATTATTCTTAAGATTTAAATATGGGATTAAAAGAATGAATGGAGAAGAGCAAGTGAAACTAATTAAATGCCCTTTGATTAAATAAAGTTTTATTTAGGATAAAAGAGAAAAAACAAGAAGTATATAAAGTATGAAATATATAAGAGAGTGGAAAAAGGAAAGTACGCAAAAAAATACAGAGCATACGAGGGTCGTTGTGGCGATGATAGGAATGAAGTGGAGAATCATCAGGCAAATTACGTTGTGCAAACGTGTTCAATGAAATTTCCATAATGTTATCCTCCTTTAAAACGCTAGTCCCAGTCTTAGTCTTTGAAGAGTACAAGCCTCTTTCGATCCCAAAAATTACGCTAAAACTTGCCCTACTCTTGCGGGATAAAAAGCAAAAAGAATTTACCTCAATGTAAATATAGTGCTGTGACGCCTCAATTGCCTTGATGTAAGCTTCATGTATGGAGCTTTCTTTTGGAACACCACCTGACCATTCACACAAGGAGCGTAGAATCTAACAGAGAAATAAATCATAATTAACGAAAGTAACTGAACTCAATGAAGGATTTTCAGGTCACACTTGGGCTGTGATTAACCTCGTTCAAACAAGAAAACTTTGATTTGCCAAAGTCCGCTGAAAGTTTGATAGTTTTTCTGTATTCTAAAATTTACTTTATACTTTTCCCAACTTAAGAAAGTTCTAAACGGTTTAAGACAATGAAAAGACTCAGACATGTCGGCGACATTTTTCAAAGAAATTCTTTATGTTTCCACAACATTTTTTTTAGTCTTTGTTGTCCACGAAATAAGACACATCGAAGTACTAGACGACATTTGACAACGATGATGACGGCGAATGTCATCCAAACAAAAAAAAGAACAAAAAATCACAGATGTGAACTATCCCTATAGTCAAGTTGAAAAACTAAAACTCCCTGAAGTAAACTTGTACTCATGACAACAGTTAACAACAACAGTTAAGGTGACTCGACCCAGTTTTTTTGGGGGGGTACCATCCTACTTTAAAGCTCTCTGGTATCCCCAACTTTACTTTTATAGTAAGTCTAACACATAGAATGGATAACATATAGATCAATCTACAATATAACATAAAATTTTTGGCGATCGGAGTAAATGTCACGTTGTTATAATGCCACGCCCCTTTGAGGTCTGAGTCGAAAATCTGCTGTTGCTGGCATTTTTTCGTGAAAATCTCTCGGCTACACATAGTGCGCATTAGTGCCTTGCGCTGAACAGAGTTTCACCAAAATCGCAAAGACCCAATTCGAGAAATTCAGCGGTTTCCAAATTTAGGTCATAATTTATGCGAAAATGATAAGCAAACTTTACACGGATTATATCTAATAAACTATGAGATTCATCTCTTTATTTTGGGCATCGTTATAACAGATGGGTCCTTGCAAGTCAGCAAAACGCTTTAGGGCCTTGTAAATGCGCGCGATTTCGAGCAAAGCAAACATATAGAAATTATAGTTTTCGCTATTTGTTGACGTTTGTCAGCGTTTAAGAGTCCTTCTCACGAAAAAAGCATTTTCTTAAAAATTCGTAGTTTTTTTTCCTTCAAATTTTTTCAGGGCCACAATTGATTAACTAACTACCCGGACTCTGAATTTCATGGTCATTGAAAAACTGTGACATTATCTTCTATAAGCCCAAACTTGAGTAAACATTGAAGATTTTTAGCGTTTTGGCTGAGTTTGTGCTTTGGGAGTTGTCTATTGTTTCTAGTCTGTCATTATACAGCATTCTTGTTCAGCACGCGTGCAATGACCGCGCTTGGCTGACTTCCGAATGCTCACCGAGATATAATAATTTTGGTACAGTGAGACAGGCCATCGCGTGATACATAGAGGTTTAAGTCACAATTTTTAATCAATTCTCGTGCTTCTTGTGCCTTTGCAAAAAAATCAAGAAGTGCTACACACTAAATCTACTTACTATTAAAAAAATATCATTTTTTCATAGGTTTAATGCAAGCCAATAATTAAACCAACTCGTGACGGGAATATCTCGGTGAGCATTCGGAAGTCAGCCAAGCGTGGTCATTGCACGCGTGCTGAACAAGAATGCTGTATAATGACAGACTAGAAACAATAGACAACTCCCAAAGCACAAACTCAGCCAAAACGCTAAAAATCTTCAATGTTTACTCAAGTTTGGGCTTATAGAAGATAATGTCACAGTTTTTCAATGACCATGAAATTCAGAGTCCGGGTAGTTAGTTAATCAATTGTGGCCCTGAAAAAATTTGAAGGAAAAAAAACTACGAATTTTTAAGAAAATGCTTTTTTCGTGAGAAGGACTCTTAAACGCTGACAAACGTCAACAAATAGCGAAAACTATAATTTCTATATGTTTGCTTTGCTCGAAATCGCGCGCATTTACAAGGCCCTAAAGCGTTTTGCTGACTTGCAAGGACCCATCTGTTATAACGATGCCCAAAATAAAGAGATGAATCTCATAGTTTATTAGATATAATCCGTGTAAAGTTTGCTTATCATTTTCGCATAAATTATGACCTAAATTTGGAAACCGCTGAATTTCTCGAATTGGGTCTTTGCGATTTTGGTGAAACTCTGTTCAGCGCAAGGCACTAATGCGCACTATGTGTAGCCGAGAGATTTTCACGAAAAAATGCCAGCAACAGCAGATTTTCGACTCAGACCTCAAAGGGGCGTGGCATTATAACCACGTGACATTTACTCCGATCGCGAAAAATTTTATGTTACATTGTAGATTGATCTATATGTTATCCATTCTATGTGTTAGACTTACGATAAAAGTAAAGGTGGGGATACCAGAGAGCTTCAAAGTAGGATGGTACCCACCCAAAAAAACTGGGTCGAGTCACCTTAACATTCGCTACCTTTGTAGGGTTTTTACGGCAGCCTAGTCCCTGGGCGTTCTCGGCTCAGTCAATCCTGGACTCTACCGTGAGCTGTGACGTCACCGAGAGACACTCGCCGCTCTTTCCCAGACTTCGCGCGGACAACGGGGCAAGAGAGAACGCCTAGGGACTAGGCTGTTTTTACGGTAAGCGATAATCAAACTACGATTTTTTAAATTTGTCTGTGTTAACTTTCTCATTGACTGTTACAGTTATGGTCCATCATTTTGGGTTAACGTAGTTTGGTCTCTGCGTAAAAGATCAATAATATTCTATAAGCCCCAAATACAAGTTTCCAGAGGAGGGAAGTTTTGATTAAAATTTCGACGGTACCCTGGGATTGAATTAACATCTTTCCGACAAACCCATTGTCCTAGCAGGTTCTTCAGTTACCTGGCACTCTACCGTTTTCACATTTTCAGATACTGTCCGTCTGTCAGCTGCCAGTTTGGAATAAGATTTGGGCAGCACGTAAGGAATGTCAGGATAAATTTTAACTTTTTCTACCTGTAAACGGAAACAAACGTAAGTGAAATGGACGGACCTCATGTTTGTTGACTTCACAATAGAAGCTAAGTTAGTTTCAAGTAAGCACTTGATTCAAGTGCACTTGAAAATCTTCAGTCGGTCTGTAGAAAATATGGCTCCGCACTGGTTGCCAAAGTATATTGCTTGAAGTGCAAGCTGTCAATCATCTTTCGCGGTAAAATCACAACTGCTCGCCACAAAAGCTAAAGCCATGAGGCCTTTGCGTTCAGGAAGAGAGTTTCAGTTTTTTTCAAGCGACTTCTTCTTCTGTATTTCTCTAGAATGGCTCAACAATACGCTTTTCGGCAAAGAACTCGCCGTAGGGCTTGAGCTTGGACTCTTGCGCAATGCTTTTTCTAGGCCAAGACATGGATGTTTATCCGTCCGTTCATTAGCATCTTGGAACCGCTCCACGTGCACGTCGTGCATCGTGCACATCGCTTTCAGATGGCTTCCATTTCCTTTTGGTCAAGTGTGGTGTAGACCATACTTGGTGGCGAACGTCGGCTTATTGAAATTACGAACGTTTCCATGGCGACCAAGTAAAGTTAAAGTAGGTACATTTTACCCCTTCATACTCAAAGTGGGTTCCAAGTACACTTAGATCATTCTTGAAAGCTCTAGTGCGAAGCCAACAATTAAGTTCAATACTTTTCCTCTCAAACTTTCTGTAAAACAAACTTGCATTTAGCCGACAACTCTATCAATAAGCGGACACATGGATGGGTTGCGCAAATGCACACTTAACACAGGTTTAACTGTATCTTAGGAGGCTATAAGCTAAGAATAGCAGAACGTTTTGATCAGACGGATACTAGATAGGCTCGTCCAAGCATTCAGCTCCACCAGTGGCGCTCTCAATCTTAAGCTTGTCAATTTAAGTCGTCTCCAATTTTTACACAGGACTTTTAAAGTTTTAGTTTCCAAAAGCACTGAACTACCTTAGTGGCATTCCATCTGAGGATGAAATGTCTGGCCACGTCCCTGGCTGACGCACCAAATGTTCGCATTCCAACATCATGCCACGGCATGCGAGGAACAGCACCCCTGTCTACAGAATCTATAACAAAAGAGAGTGACCAATGGCACTAAAATATAAATTTCAACACAAACAAGTGGGAGGCCCCTTAGTGTTTTGATTGCAAGAAAGCTCCCGACTCAGAGATCGGGGTGTGCACAGCGAAATGTGTGACCTTGGGGGACCAAGGGTTGTGCAGTGGTGAGAGCACTCGCCTCCCACCAGTGTGACCCGTGTTCGAATCCTGGCGTCGACGCCATATGTGGGTTGAGTTTGTTGTTGGCTCTCTTCCTTGCTCCGAGAGGTTTTTCTCCGTGTACTCCGGTTTTCCCCTCTCCTTGAAAACCAACATTTTCAAATTCCAATTCAATCTGGAACGCACAGATACCTTTCAACGAGTTCTTAAGAACTACATAATACTTAGTAACATGACCTATGAAAATAAGAGGGCGCGGTGAGTCCAACAGGGATACGTTTTTGTTCCCGTTCTCTTTGAAAAGTCTCATTTTTGCCTCAAGTGAAGTTAGTTTCTTCCTTGTAAACTTACAATCTTAGCCTCCTCTGGATTAAGAACCCCACGCACCTTCACTGTTTTACTCTTTTTCTTTCAGTATATTAGCATAACAAGTACAACTTAAAACTGAAAAGTTGGGGGAAAAAAATCATGTAAGGAGAGTGCGAAACAGCGATTATAAAGTGACACAACTGTACGTTCAACGTTTTGCAGTGTTGCTTCAAAGCCGACGAATGAAGACGGAAACTTTAAATTAGGTCGAGGTAAGAATGTTTTTAGGTTGAAAATATTTTGAATGAACAATAAAACAGTTATAGGATTTGGCTTTCGTATGTTATTAAGACTAGCGCAGATTTCGGAGGTTATTAGAGAGTTTTAGATTCCAAGACAAGGACGACTACGAGTACGAGATTTCCTCAATACTGAGTAGTGCTCGCGCACGAACCAGCGTCATTTTGGTGGGAAAACGTGATAGTCGTCGTGATTCTACTACAAGTTTTTTGCGAGAATGTCGTTGCGGTGGAAACAACTTATCCTCAAATGTTAGACCGGGACGGCTTAACCTCCTTCAATTTAGATAATACTGGTGAAAAAAGCACAGTGAAGCTTTCCGGGGTGGCTATGCTATGAGAATAGCATAGACTGTATATCGCTCGTTACCTTCAAACGGTTTGTTCACTTCAAAAAAATCCCTATTGACCGGATTAGAGTAATCTTTTCCCAGCCATATTTTGCTTCCTCCGGTAGTCCCGGGTTCCATCTGTAACCTAGCCCCGTCTACTACTTCGGGACGAAACGGTAACTTCATTCCCTCCACTGTTCCTTCTACAATCAAGGCGCCGATTTTCCTAATTTGCTCTTCCTGTTTGGAAATATAAGAAGATTTCGTACAAATGTGAACAAGAGCTGCGTTAATACTACTTTATATAAAGCTATTTCGAGAAGGTTGTCGGACAAAATGTGCACGCGACAATCCCGAAAGGTAATATGGGATATGATCAATACCCGGTTCCTGACAATATAGCTGTCGAGCCTACTTTTGTTGCTGCCTTTATCACGCACAAGCATACGTCTATGACTTGTCTTAACATTCCTCCAAATTTCTTTGAAGAACAGTGAACTCAAAACCATCCACAATACCTTTCGGGCTTGTCACGTGCACCTTTTACGACAACCTTTCTCGAAATAGCTGTATACGCACCGCTTTACATGTCGACTGTGAGATTGAAGTAAGTATCCATACATTGTATGTTCACGAGCAAAGCATAAAGATGCCTTCACGTGCGATAAATATCAGCATAAGTAACAAGATATATCCAAGCAGAGGTTTTCAAGTTTTCGAAAGTTTAATTCCAACAGGGTGAACTAAGACAAATCCCATTGTTGTTCAGCTCATCGTAGATATAATGCTCGTTTTTTCCGAGTTTTCCTTGTGTAAATATTTCCATTTTTCCCTTTTTACATATTCTACCTCTTTTCGTTCATGCGTTTACACCTGTGTTGTGGATGTTTAAGGCTGATTTTCTATTTTAATGGGACACCCCCCCCCCCCCCCCCCCCCCCCCCTTCCCCTTCTTTCTCCCCTGCCTGCGCGCGGGGTGCCGCCGCACACACCGTTCCCTCCGCCCTGCCGCCACCCCGCCGCCCCCACAAAACAAACAACACATCCAAACAAACAACACGACTACAAAACAAAAAGGCCCCCCCCCCCCCCCCCCCGGGCTCTACTTACCGTTTTGCTTACAGGCGGAGGCAGTAGTGCTGATCCAAAATCTGTCAGACGGTGCGAACAGTTATCCCAGCGCCCAAAACAAAGATCAAGACCTAAAACGAACCAATATCAGCCTGAATAAAGTTAACAAACAAATAAACGACAAAAAAGAGAAAAACAAAAAAATAAGAAAAAAAACACGAGGTAACACTTTGCAAACCTATTGCCACTATCTCTCCTTTTAAATCTAGATTGAAAGCATTTCTCCTCAGCTGATTCTCCACTTATAAATATTATTTGTTTTTTTGCTTCTTTTTGTACATTTAGTGTGTTTTGTTTTGCTTGCTTTTTATCCTAACTTATAAACATGATTTCTCGCTGCTTATTTATTAGATTTATAGTATTAGGTTAGGGAGGGAGTTCATGTAAAAAGCCCTTACGGTTTCAATTTGAGCTTCCTCGCCAGAAAAATACTTCTAACTGTTTCACTTTTGTAATTTAGGTCAATTTTAACCTTCAACTATTATTTTTCCAATGTTTTGAATGACTGTATTTTTTTTTCGGACAAATGAATAAACTGAAAGCGTAACATGTTTCAAGGTGTACAACAACATAACATCTGAACACCTTTGCCAAAAATTCTTGAAATGAGGACCGACTACGATACCAGGGTTTCTCTTCTAGATTCCAGTTGTCCCTTCCCAAAACAAATTATTGCAAAAAACGTTTTGGTTATAGGGGTGCATTTACGGTATTTGGAAAAAGTGATCTCATCTGAATCCTGCAAGGATTCGTTCATTTTATCTATTCCTTCGCTTAATTCGTGCCAGGGATCTTTATAAGGGATAGCAGGAGCCGATTACTGAGATAGCTTATTTAGGGTATTTAAGAATTTACCTCCAAGAAAAGCCACCTTCTGATCGACGACCACCAACTTTTCATGGTGAGCCCAATAAACCACGCGTTGCCCTGCTATATGGTCTGGATGCCGCAAAACCTGAAGCCAGGGCGAGTTAATAAACAGAAGGTAACCACTGTCATTATTCCGTAAGATTGACTACTTCCTTACAATAGGTACAAATAATAACTTCCCAAAAGTGAGCGTGTGCACTGTATGTGAAGCAATACAAACTACTTATTAACCGAGAGTGAGGTCATTACAGGGAATGAGTTGTACACTTGAGCCCCGATGAAGTCAGGTGACACTGGTCAGCGGATACCTTTTTTGACAGGTGTCAATTGACCATAACATGGATGTTTATAAGGATGTCCACTATCAAGTTAAACACAGATTGTACATGCCTTGGACACCTAGCTAGTACTTCCCGGTCATTACAAGAAAACAGCCAATCAGAGAGCGCGTACTATTGTAGCCATATACAGTCATGTAATAATAAATCATATGTAAGCAATGAGTATTAGGTCTACACTTTGGGGAGACCACCAGGGGAAGGAAATTTGGGTTCAATGAGAGGAATTACGTAATATCTTATGTTCTAAACCTTGGAAGGCTATCTCCTATTGAACATAGATCAATGACAGAGAAAAAAAATAGTTATGAGGTTGATAGCCTGCGATCTGCCACTCTGAAATTAACACTAATCATGAATACATTATACCAGTAGCCACATATCAATAACGATGAGACAGCCACGAAAAGCGCCTGCCGTTAAGCGAAAAATGATAGGGAAAGAAATGGAGGGGAGGGGCTTACAATAACCTTGCTGGTCATTTTTATCAACCTACTACCACCACATGTTTATACCCAATGTGACATTTGGTTTTTGTACCTTGATATTCGGGTGTAGACTCATCAGTTTTGATTTGGTGTAAGCGCTGTTGATAGTCAGAGCGAACTCTACCTCTTTGTAGATCAAAATATAGATTTTCACTCCATCTTTCTGGTAAAAGAGAAATACAAGACAAATTAATGAAGGCGCAAAGGGTTGTCAATTTTTAATCCATTCTCGCGCTCCAAGGTGGACGAAAAACTGCAAATACGTATTCACTGTTTCCCTAACAGGATGCAGGGCATGACCAACCCTGAACTGCAATCAACGCCAACACCTTACGAATGAAGTTTTGGCTGAGAAAACAGTCGACATTTCACGACGCCACCACTGGCTTCCCCGCGAAAATGACGTCTGAGAAACGAGCGCAGAAATTCCCCACTGATGAAGCGTCAGTACCCAGATATTTGGGTAGTGCATCTGATTGGTTGAAGCGCGGCACGACCAATCAGAGGCAAAACCCAGATCTGGGTAGTGACGCGTCATCACTACGGAATTTCTGCACTCGTTTCTCAGACGTCATTTCGCGGGAAAACCAGTTATGGCGTCGCGAAATGTCGGCTGTTTATCAAAAAAGCAATCATGAGGTAAGTATAGTGGAATACCATTAACTCATTAATTCCCAGAAGTGATTGTAATGTAACTTCCCCTTATAATATCAATACATTATCGAGCAGATAGGTGATGAGAATAGACAGATGTATCAGCTATATAACTCCAAATTTTCTTAACTTATGTACAAGGACATGTACAGCAGACAGAAAGGAGACCTACCAATCAGATCTTGGCAGTTAAAGATTTATCCATGATCGTATAGTACTAACAAGGTTTAGTGTGTGTTTTTTTTGTTTGCTTGTTTGTTTGTTTGATTTACCTCTAAGAAAAACGAATGTGTTAGTTAAATGGCCTTAAGACCCACTAGTCTCCTGTAGCTCATTGGTAGAGCATCAGGGGCCCGTTGCTTAAAAGTCCCGGTAACTTTTCGGGCCCGAAATCAAATATTCAAATCGAAATAAAAAGAATAAGAGCGCGGGTCCTGGCTAGCAAACAATTCCATTTTGTTTCATTAACTGACAGTTTTATCACGTTAGATGCAAAACTATTGAAACCTCGATCTTTAATGTAAACGGCAACAGCTTACCGGTCCCGTTAATTATCGGGACTTTCGAGAAACGGGCCCCTGGTCTCGCAACCAGAGAGTCATAAGTTCGACTCCTGTTAGAAGAACTCGGGTTACTTTTTCCTCTAAGGCGCTGATAGTTTCACTCCCTGAAAACCATCATTTCTCGAACGTGGCAAATGTATTTACGAGATGTTTACGTTAAACGGGTGGTACCATCGCCTCCCACGCGAACGTTCTTAGGGATTCGTCACGCATTCCTTTCGATGGGAGGATCGCGTGACGGGCCAAAAGAACGTCTGCGTGGGAGGTTAGCGGTACTGAGACGGGATTCTTCTGTACCGCTTTTCTCTCTAGAATGTTGTCCAGTCTCCACTCATGGCCAGCAGTGACTGGTCGCCGAAGATAAACCTCTGGGCTGATCCTGAAAAAAAACCATCAACATTATAAACAAGAACAACTATTGACTAACTTGTGACCAAGCGCAAGGTCAAGATACTAGCTGATACTGTACAGCTCCTTCTTCCCTTTTAGTGGACGCCAATGAAATAAAGGACCACAGAAGCTGAGACCTGACAAACACAAGGACAATATTTACGCGTTTTTGAAAAATACGATTTGTGAGGTGAGTATAACGATTATAATTGTAATGATGGCAGACATTCCTTTTTTCATGAGAGAGCGACGGTGGCAATACCGAGGTGACAAGAGATAGCTCTCCACCTTGCCTTCACTACCAAGAACCTTCTGCTAAATGTAAGATAGAAAACATATATGAAAATCACCACATTTGTATGAAGTGAAGATGAAACACATTTTGACCGTCTCCTTTTCTTTGACTCCCTGTATTTCGGAGTGCATTACGGGTGTCCTGTCTTTGAGTATTTAGAGATGAGTACTTCTCCCCTATGAACGACGCACTCTCCAGCATACTTAACCTCCTCAACGAACTTTGCGTGTAGTAAATCCTCTATTAGCCTCCCCTGTCAAATAAGCCCCCCTCTTTTTCGGGGAAAAAAGTTAATAAGCCCCCCTTCTCTTTTAAAACTTCATGTGGACTAATCCGCGATGATTTATTCACCAACTGGAAGTTCAGATTTGTTTTAGATCCTCGGCTGCAGGACCTCCAACTTCTTGTACTTGAGCTTTTCCACTTTGTATTCTAGTTCTTCATGGAGAACTGATACAATCGTCTTTGCTAAATTAAATAAGCCCCAGTCTCAAATGCACCCACCGTCTCTTTTTAGTCCCCCTCCCCCTTAAATGTGTTTGAAATATATAAGCCCCCCGGGGGATTTAATTGAGGATTCACGGTATTCAATACTTATCATCACTTACCACCAGCCAGTTAAGAAGATCTCTTCCTCTGCAGATTCCAAAGCATCAGCTACACTATCGAAATATGACTCTCCATCTACAAACCTGCCGATGAATCAGTTTTGGTTATTATATATCTGCAAAACTGTTTCCAATGTGGTCACATAAATACAGGTATCATTTTAAGTAATTTACCAAAGCATCGGATAAAAATTTTCGTGCATTTTGGTTAGCCCGCGTAGCTCGGAATATCCTTGCCTTTTCACTGTTTTGGGACGGAATTCAAAATGGCGTCTTCCTACCCAACAGTTCCCGAAGATTAAATTCTAGCGATAAATGAAGCAGTTGTTCCAACAAATACCACGACAGCAAGGTTTCTCGGGGTCTACTGGTTGATAGAAGATGATTTTATGCACACGACAAAATCGATCCCCGAAATATATTATTTGTAAACATTGTCCATTTATGATGTAAAGAAAGCTCTCTCTCTCTCTTCCTCTTAATAAGAAGTGACTTCTTTTGTTTGTAGGCCAATTCCGAGTTCCAAAAACTCTTGCTTTCAAATCGACGCCAAGTGCAAAATTTTTCTTGTGAAATGAGTTTTATTCACATGAGAATTGAAAAACATTTTCATATGAATGGCTTTCAGTTAAACCTCATTTTGAAAATGAGGCTTGAGGCAACTCGACAATGGCCCGTAGGTTGGTGCCGGTTTACCACGTGCAGTTATGATATCAGCCGTTATCACGTGTAGTTATGATATCAGTCGTTATCACGTGCAGTTATCATATCAGTCGTTATCACGTGCAGTTATCATATCAGTCGTTATCACGTGCAGTTATCATATCAGTCGTTAGCACATGCAGTTATGAAATCAGTCGTTTTCACGTGCGGTCTTGTTCCTCGTCGTTATCAAGAGCAGTACCGGTACTGATATCAGTCATTAGGACGCACTTGCAGTAGGATATCCGCAGTAAACTCACCACTGAGCACAGGAGTTATCCCTGACCGGGGCAAATGAATCGTGAGGATGTTCTTTTATCCAATCTGCACCAGCTGTCGCCATCACGTGAACAATCGCTTTCATCCATTCACTGTCGGTCAAAATTTACACCTTTATCGGTCTACTTGAAATACGGTTATAATAACCATGTCTCAAAGAGGTTACTCACAAAAGTTTTGTAAACTCTAGCTTTAGAGCTGTAGCATTCAACTGGTAGTAAGATCCCCCCCCCCCCCCCCCCCCCCACAAAAAATTTAAATACTCCACCCGCCGGGGGGGAAAAAAATTTTTCGCGTATATTTTATATTTTTGAAAAAAAAAAAAACTCTACAAAAAAAATCACATATTTTCAAAAAATACCCCCTAAAAATATTTTTTTCCTAATTTTAGAGATTTNTTGAATTCTCGGAAATCAGGGGCAATATTTTTACTTTTAGTAAACGTTCCCTCATGAATATGCTGATGTCCCTATCAATTGCCGAAAGATTCTAGGGGAAAAATTACCCAGAAAATTTCCATTTCATCAGCTGTCGTTTCGAAAGACCAGGAAAGTTTGTTTGAATAAAAGGCGGCCTTGGAATCTACGAAGTTTTCCAGTTTGGCAATTTTTGCCCACACGGAAGAGATCAGTTAATCGACACCAATAAAGAAGTCCGAGTTAGGCGCAATTTCTTGCGTGTTGACTATATATTGTACCTTGCTTTCCGCTCTGTCCAGCACTTCAACAGAAGTTCCCTACAGAGGAAAAATTTTTTTTTGAGGGGTAAACTACAATTAACAATAAAAATTAAAAACTAAAATCAACATAAATTTATTTAACTATTTTCGCAGAAAAAACAAGGTATTATTTCATTATTCATGTTAGTTGAATAGAAGCTAATAAAACACTTTTGTCCGCCAAAGTCATTAATCCACTTAATGGTCTCCAATTTCATTCAAGAAACTCCAATTTAACGAATGGCCCTACTTTGCCATATGACTTTTTAGCTACAGTTTACAGATGATGTGAAAATGTGGTAATAACAAACAAAGTTGGATTTTGATGTTCTTGTCCGTTTTGACTCGCGGGAGATCTGCATGTCTGAATGAACGCACCGCAAAATGTAACCTCTTCTTGACAGAATGACGTTTCGAGGCTTTTCCCTCAAAAATTTATTTCTGAGCTAACAAAACTACTTTTCCTTTCAGATTGCTCCTGTATGATGATTTGGCAAAGTTACATATTAACCTTAGTTTCTACAAAACACCCCGGTTAGTTATTCACCTGCTCTGGTTATGCACAAGCAAACCATGACTGACACCTGTCTGCTTCCTTCCATGCTTGAAGGAGAACTCCTTGTCCATTAAAACTACACCCCTCACTTCTTTATCCTTGGGGCTATATTCAGTTTAAAGACAGAAAATCGCTACGTAAACTGAACAAATCGCTACGTAAATCGCTACGTAAACTGAGCATGCTTCCCAGTTGAACAGTAACTATTTTACCACATTGACGAAAGCAAGAGTGCGCTTAACTACATTGGTCATACGTGTAAAAGTCATCTGGGCTAGCAGCAAAGAAGTTTACCAAAGTTTTTAAGCATCACGTTTTCGAAAAATATGACGGAATTACTGTCCGTCCGCCCTCCCGTCTTTCCTTCGGTCGAACGGCCTGGTCCTGTCCATCCGTCCGTCCGACCTATTGGTCAGTCGGTGCGTCCCTCCTTCATCTGTCCAGTTGGTCGGTCTGGTCCGTCCATCTGTCCATACGGTCGGTCTGTCTATCTGTCGGCCCAGTCTGCCCTTCCATCGGTCCGGTCCGTCCGCCCTTTTAGTCGGACGGTGGGTCTGCCCTTCCGGGTCGTCAGTCCGTCCGTCCGTTAATCAATCTATCAAAAATTTTATTGATTTATATATACCACACGTTTATATTCTTTGTGGTTCCTACCTTACATATGCAATAAAACTGTCTTTAACCACAAGCCATCTACAAAAAAAAAAAAAGGGCATAATCAAATGTCTGTATATCAAGGATCTCACGTTCTAAATATGCATAACAGTGCAGTAAAATCTTCAGGGATGTTCCATATGCCACTAGGAAACACGTGTGCGACAGTATTATTTAAAAACACAACTGGACAACAGTGGAAGGACAGTGTTGTGCAGAGATACACATTAAGCTCAATTGTGAGGCAAAAAGACTCAATGACCCAGTTTGAATAAAAAATGTCAATGTGGACGGCACACTATAAAAAAAAAAAAATGCGCACCAGCAACAGTGCAGTTTTTCAGGTGAGCAACTCAGTCTCAGTATTTCCTGAGCGTAAAGTTTGTTTTTGAAAGTAAAGGAAGAATGGGGGGAGCGATAAAGTTGATCAATAAGGCGGGGCACCGTCTAAGAACGAAGCATGGGAGAGGAAATAAGTTTAAATACTCAAACTATGGTAAAAAAAAATGACTAGCACAACATCAAAAAAGAATTTGATTTACTTTTTATTACCTCTTGTCCCATATTCCCCATGACAATCCAGCACAGCAACTGCAGCAGCCCGCTGGGAACTTCTGCCCCCCTGCTCGCTTTCTCAAAACACCTTCCCTGAAAAGTACAGTACAATAAAATAAAATTAGGATATTGAGCAAAAGAAAAATGCAAAAGAATACTGACAGTAACGAGGCCTTGTTGAGGCAAAATTCTGACAAGCTACACGACCTTGAAACAGCGACAGGACAGCAGAAATGGCGACAAACGAGACAAAGATGGGTTCAAATTGCGACAGCGACAGAGAAAAGCTATTGTATTGCGTGCAAACTAGACCCAGGGGAAGTAAACTCCCACATGAAAGGGTTGAGCATGATCTCATTTGGGGGTGTAAGTTGCAGATTTTAGTATCACACAGGCAGGGTGTCATTCAGGATGGAACATGCCCACATATTCACTTTGGGCTGGAAATAAAGAAAGCAAAGGTAGAAAACAAGAAGGAAAGAAGAGAAGGAAATTTCTTTATTGCAACATCTATTTCTAAGCTCTTATTTGGCTATCTTTAGTTGGGCGAAACATTATCAGCTTGAGTTACTCCCATATTGGTCTTCTATAAGGATTTGCTTCTAATTTTCTTCCTTTTCCTCTTTTAATAGTTATTGTGTATGTAAATGTTTATATCAGGGGTACCCAACGGGGATATAGTTCAAAGCCACTTAACATAGCATTGTTGAACGTATTTTAGTATTTAAAACGGTAGATATAGGCATATTTTTATCCCCTAAAAGCTTTTCATCTGTGCGGATTTCCTAGCTGAAAGTCTAGTAATCCGAAAATTATAGGGATAAAAACTTACCTTCTCGAAAATTTCAGCCAGGAAAAGGCTCCCGAAAATTCTAGGTGGCCTTTTTTAGGGTCAAAATCCGTTAAAAATGGGTAATTATACCATTTTGTAGATGTTCGAAAATCCTAGGAGAGGCAGGCAAGCAAGAAATTTTACAACAAATGTTCCGAAAATTCTAGATCTCAAATCGTCTTCCGAACAGATATTTTCCAAAAAATTGCCGTTGGGAGCCCCTGTTATATAAACAAGGGGCCAACAAGATAACATTAGTTTACTTGGCCTAGCCTCTAGACACCAAAAATAGGAACAGTAAAAGGAGACACAAGCTTAAGCATCATGCATAAGCTTCTGCTTATATTATGTGTGTGTGTAAAAATCTGTGTGTCATCCTTCTGCTTGCTCATACTTGTAAACTGGGCTTGATGTCAAAAATTTAAAATAAAATGTATGTGTAGCTACAGAATGAAAAAAAAATCATTGCCTACAAATGCCCAATGAAATAAATGCCCTGAAGAAGAAAAAAAATTTACTCACGTTCTCTTCTCTCCCAGTTCGTACTGAAAGGAAAGATGACTAACTTCCAAAAAATGCAAGGTCTCTTTGTGATTTCGATAGTTGGGGTTATCCAGAATGACCTGTAAGTACTTTTGTAGAGCTTTTTTTCTTTTTTCCATGTTAGTTGTTGTGGCAAACATGTCTGGCCTCCTTGGCAAGTGTCTGCTTGGTAGATGACGAAGCTCAGGTGTGTGATCCCTTCGCAAACTGTGCCGACGCACATTGACTTTGTGAAAGAACAGCTCTGCATCAAGTTTTAAGAAGTGTTTATACCGTCGCCTAATTTCCCAGCTGAAGCTCCCATGTGTAAGCTTTATAGTGTACCTGAATACCAAGAGAGAAAGGAGATGAAAATAATTTTTATACACGTTCATTTACTATTAATCAAATAATTTCAGTCTAATAAATCTTACTGGTGGTATGATTCATTATAACATTTAGGGATGTAGCTTGTGGATGATGCAAGGTGAAAGACAAGTGATTAACAAAATAATGGCTAAGCACAGCACAGTTGCATGTTTATAATATGGCTCAATCCACCAGCAGGTAAGATAATCAAGGGAATCCTGTTTTCTGATTGGCCACCCGAAATTAATACAGTAAGGCCAATTGCCTGCTCGGTATTTCCCTTGTTGGTATCTTATTTCTTTCTTGTGATTCTATTGATCTTGAATTGCTAATTTGGTGAGGTGTCCTGATAGCTGGCTACCAGAACTGATCAGAGGCAAGATTGGGCCTACAACAACTACATCTTCCCCACTCCAGAACACCCACAACGTCTCTAAAGAAAAGATACATGTATTGCTTTTGTCATACATTAAATCCTCTAACTGACCAAGCTTGTTTGGGTCAAGATGGCTGTCAGTGACTGTTTTTTTTTTCTTCTTTTTTTATTTCAATTTTTATTGACCTCCACTCTGTCTTGCTGCATAAAAATGCACAATAAAAAAAAACTAAAAAAAGATCTCACCAAATGCATGTATATCAAGTCATCATCTTGACCTCATGCGTGGTCAATAACGTAAATTTAATAGTAGTTAGGAAGCTGTGTTATTTTAGTATAAAAGAAAAATAAATAGAGCACATCTTACAGATTCGGATTGAATGGGTGGGTCCTTGGTGCCCGTTCAACATCAATAACCTCAGCTGTAACCTTTAATCCTGGAAGAAACGCTCCTTTCTTTTTGTCTTGAGAATGATAACTAACACTGCTGTCAAACACATCGTCATCTGCAAACTCTTCTAGATTTATACACACTGATCCAGAATCTAGAGTAATTATATAAGCCAAAATTTATACATTCAAGAGATGATCGATCCTCTTAAAGGCCAGTTGCAGTGTAATTGCCAATAGGTTGGATACTTGTGGGAACTTGCAACTGAGGTCACACTTAGTTCACTATTAGTAACTCCAAATTGGTCTGTAATTGTATAAATGATTAACAAAACTGGACAACGATGTATTTTGAGTCCAATTTGTTTAATCTTATGATATAGACATGAGTGTTTTACTTGAAAACCAGAGGCAGATCCAGGATTTTTTTAGGAGGGGGTGCACTCGTCTCTTGCTCTACTTCAACACCACAGGCCCGTAACCAGGATTTTATGTGGGGGGGTGCTAACGAGGCCAAAGTGGACCCAACTACCGAAATGTATTTTTTATTTTCTGATCCGTTTATTTAGGAAAGTAGCAATACATGAGAAATTGTAACCGCAAAGTACACGGTAGGAACTGAATATTACATTTTTCGAATACAACAGTTTGAATTAAGTTATAAAGGAGTAATTTTACGATGTAAAATGATACATCAAAATACTGCGGAACTAATCCCTCAGAATAGTCCCGAGCTCCAGCCTGCGTGGGTGTAGCGACTAAATCTCAGAGCATGATAACGGATCAAGACTGGTGGACATTGTCAGCGTCTAATGGCTCTTGACGGGGTACTTTACTAACCCATGTATCGAGAGACTGGCAAGATTTAGCTGCAG